AATCTTTCTCTAGAAAAAGAACAGAAGGCAGCTATAAACTGAAATCCAAATAGCCATGAAGTCATCATTGCAGTCGCTGATTTACTTTGCAAGCTGAGCTGAAGCTGTTTCTAATGGGTCTACACTAGAGTTCCAGGCTTCAGCTCTTCTCCAAGCCCAGATGTGCCACTTGCACTGCAGCCTATAAAGTCCTTGCTCTCCTTGCATTTCCATACAGACTAAAAAATTTACACAATTTTACTGGGCTGTATTATTTAATAAATACCCATGAAATATTTACACTGTGTTTCTAATGATATAAATTATTCATATTTCCTGAAACCTTTTTGATACAGGTATAATAGGAGGTTAGAAGCAATCCAAAAGAGGAAATTTCTATGATGGGTAGAGGGGATAACCCCTACTTGAAAGCGTAGATAAATGTGTGTACAGTCACTCATGAGTGTCTTTGATAGTATATATTTATATAGTAGGCTGTAATAATTAATCTTCATTACTTTTTCTAGACTGAAGCTGCCAGATAGCAAGTTAACAGTTTCGGCTTTAGAGATGAGAAACACTTCTATATAAGTTTTTCAGTATGCTCTTCCTACTCAGCTGCTGACAATGAACATAAAGATCTTAATCAGGGTATACTTTAATGCAGTTGTCAAAATGATTCTTTACTCTGAGAGCTTATAACTGGTGATTTTCATGCAGAACTAAAAATACATTTTATGGGACCTACTTTTAATTCAGTATTAAAAGGATTTTCAGTGCCTTTGAACCAAAAGTATTAATTCAGAATGGTTTGTCCTTGGTTGACAATAAATATTAACAGTCTGTGTTGTTTTAGTAAGAGGGTACATAAAATGAAAACACTGTACTCTAGAGCCTTAAATTACTGTCCTTGAAAAATAATCATGGTAAAGCTGAGATTAGTTCAAAAGTAATTCATTTTGTTCCTATCACAGAGTGAGACCATGAGGAAAGGGGAAACACAAAATTGCTTTTCTTAACAGAACAGGCTGCAGAGAAAGTCCAGGAGAGAATTTCCTTTCAGGGAAAGCTCTCTGAAAAGGTTACTGCAAAGATTGCATTACTTTCAGATCTGGGCTGTTAAAAAGTGAGAGCTGAATGACAATGACCCTGTGTCCTCATCCTTGTTGAGTAAGTTCTTTGTGCATACCTTAGCGCACTACCTCATCATCGAGTCAGTGTTGTTTGCCTCTGCCTCCCTCACAAGCTTCATTCTCCATTCTTGTAAACGTCAGAGGATACTGTTAAAGGCGTATCCTGTATGGACTCTCTCTGTCTTTGCTGAACTGTACAGAGAGAAAATTGTTTTGGCAATAACAAAACACACCTCAAAACATAAAATAAGGTCATGGAAACGTGATTATAACTTTAACCCAGCCACTTCCAAGTCTTCTCAGTGAAAAATAGGAAGTCGATTGGACATGATTTTGAAAGTAAAGGAGATTTAGTTTGGAACCGAGTATTCAATTAGGCAGAAAGATTTAGGCTACAGTATTAGGATTGCCTATGGAATGGTGGCCTAGCTGCAAATACTGAACTTCAACCACATAGTGTGAATCAAGATCTTATATATCTCTGTGTATGGATACAAAAGGTGTACTATCCGCAGAAGATGGAGAACCGAACGTAAGATGTACAGAGGCAGTGTTGTACGAAGAACAGTGACGGTGGCTCAGTACAGTTAGCACACCACAACTGTACTTGTCTAAACCAAGGGAATGAGAGTCACAATAATGCAGTTTTCACAGGGGCCTGAGATAGCAGTAGAGAAGTAAATAGAAAAACATTTAACTCTGGGCAGTTGTGCTGAACGGCAACCTAAACACAGTAGCTGTAGAGAAAGCATTTCTTGAATATTTTCAGGTGAACTCTACATATATTTTTAAGCACTTGGCTGTGAGGAATATCAGGATGATTAAAATATTGTTCTTGCCCTCAAGGCGTTCACAATATGCTGTTTTCTGTTACGTAGTTTGGTAACTGACGTACTTAATACATTATGTCTGTTAAATAACCCTTCCGTCTGCTAGAGGTTGCCTTCTGTTGTTATTAGGTGCCGTTGTTGAGTTGTTCTGACTCATGGGGACCGTATAGGACAGAGTAGAACTGCCCCATAGGGTTTCCAAGGAGCAGCTGGTGGATTCAGACTGCCAAACTTTTGGTTAGCAGCCAAGCTGTTAACCACTGCGCCACCAGGGCTCTGGAGGCAGCCTCGTAGGTAGAAAAAAAACTCATGTTTGAATTATAATTCAACTAATAGCTAGTCATGATCTCTTAGACAAGTTACTTAACCTTTGAGCCTCCCTCTCATGATCTTTAAAGATTAACATCATCATTGTTACTGTGATATGTATGTTAAAGACCTAGCACAGTTCATGAGAGGGCACAGGTTAGGCACTCAATAAATGGTTTTCAAGCATGCGTGAGCGCACGCGTGCGCGCGCACATATATGCACGTCATTGTATTCGAAAAATTTGCATATTCTGTTTAAAGAACAGCAGTAATAATGACAGCTATCTGAAAACAAGTGAGAGTCCTGCAGCCAGGGCACAAAGAAGTGATGTCAGTGAAAGAGGGAAATGAGTTTGTCTGGGTTGGAGAAATCTGCAAGTATAACTGGTTGGTCTATCCATTATAAACCTGAGATAAGAAGGCCCAGCGTTAGGTATCAGCCAGTCATTTCGTCTTGGTGCTGCATATCCCTGGTGAGCTACCTCACAAATGCCTGCCCTTGGACACAAGAAAACCCAGGTGAGAGAGCATGGATGGTGAATGATCTCCAGCCCCTTTCGTGGAAAAACACCTTAAATATATGTCCTACCTATGTGGGTTAGCAGTGAGAAGAAGTCTTTTCCAGCTTTATCACATTTGTCTGTATTAAACAATAAGTGAACGTATCTGTTGTTCATACAACCTAAGAAGAAGGTTTTATCAAAACTAGTAAGAGGGATAGACTATAGAACAATTAAAGTCATCATGAATAATATCTCATTGTTTTTGATTCTAAGAGGTCTTTTTTCTTTAGGGTATTTTTAAACTGTTGTTTAGAAATTCTTGGTCGATTTTTTTTTTATTTCTCGTCTTTTCATAAGTAAATTTCTTTGAACAATTCTTTTTCCTCATTTCTGGCTTTTGTATTTCAGTAGAGTAGTAGAATAGATCCAGGATACGCAAAAATTGACATGAAGGCTCAATTGCCCAAAACACAAAATAGAGACATACCTAAAAGGCTTATGGAGATTTGTGGAAGCGTAAGTAAAATCCGGACTCAGAAATAGCAGAAGAATAAACAGCAAACAACCGAAAGCCAACAGAGCTACAGAAGGAGGCAGCAAAAGTGGAGATGAGCCTAGGTCCCCATGAAACTGTCGAGATTTAGCCTTTCCTCACATGCATAATTTGAGAGTTTTGATCAGACATAACTTTTTGACCAGTGAATATCCAGGCCACACCCATCAGTTATTTGTTTACCTACTATTCTGTGGCCAACTCTGGAGATATAAAGGAGATTGTTTAGGTATAGTGAGGAAGACAGGACAGTGAATAGCTGATCACAGTGCTTTGTGTTCTGCACAGTGAAAAGGGTTCAGCTCAACCTGGATTTCTATTCAGGCAGTGCACGCCCAGAACCTATCATGCTGAACAGCCTAGAGTCTGGGGACAGATGTTCCTGGATGTAAATCTTAGCTCGATTAACTTAAGTTGTTTTGTAATCTTGGGAAAGTTATTTAACCTTTATGAGCATCTGAACTCTTAAATGAGAATAATAATAGTAAGAGATAAATTAGATCATGTCACTATCCTAAGCAAAACCTCCAGTGGCATCTCCCCACCTAACATAGAATAAAATCCATACTCCTAACAATGCCCCAAATAATCGGGCCCTTGCTTATCCTGTCACTTTGATTTATTCTCTTCATAAGCACTTACCATATCCCAAATTCCCTTTTGAATTTATTTACTTTGTTATCTGACTCTCTCTACTGTATCTCTGCTACTTACAGCAGAGACCTTGTCTCTCTCATTGGTTTCTGTATTCACAGAAACTACCACAGTGCCTGGCACAAAGTAAGTGCTTAGTAACTGTTTGTCTAATTTGTTGAGTGAATAAATACATTGGTTAAGAACTCGGCTGCTAACCAAAAGGTTGGCAGTTCGAATCCACCAGCCGCTTCTTGGAAACCCTATGGAGCAGTTCTCCTCTGTCCTATAGGGTCGCTATGAGTCGGAATCAACACGATGGCAACGGGTTTGGTTTTTGATTATGGTAGTGAAAGGAGCCTGGTGACGCATTGGTTAAGCACTTGGCTGCTAACCAAAAGGTTGATGGTTCCAATCCACAGTGGCTCCAGGAGAGAAAAGATCTGATGATCTGCTCCCATAAAAATTATAGCCTAGGAAACCCTATAGGGCGGTTCTACTCTGTCATATAGGGTTGCTATGAGTCAGAATCAACTTGATGGCACACAACAACATGGCATGTGAAGCACCTAATAAATAATAAAACAATTATAATTGTTTGCAGCTGCTGTTACTGTTATCATCTGCTTCACGTATTAGAGTTCAGCCTATGATTTCATTTGAAAAAGAGTTTGCTAACTTTTACCTTTAGAAAAAAAGTAGATTTAAAATTTGTTTACTACTAAGGGAAATATGTTCCCATTTGGAAAAATAATCTCAGTTCCAAATTTTTAGTAATAAAGTGAGGCCATATTTTAAAATGTACTGTTTAATTCCTTCAGTTTGATGTGTATGAGACCTTTTATCTGCAGTTGCAAAACAAGCAGGCCCAGAAGGGAAAGAATATTAGACTGTACTTTGTATCTTTTAGGCCAAGTCACCTATCAAAGAGGAAGGGAGAGCTGAATTTGAATCAGTTAAAATAAGATTAATCTCTCTCCTCACTAAAAAAACAAAACCAAAAACATGATGACTAGTAAAAATGATAACGTTCGGTGTTTTATTTTCCTTTGTACTGTAGGTATTGCCACGTCTGCAAACTTCCTGGGAGAGTGATGGGTATCCGAGTGCTTCATTTCTCTTTGGTGGTTATCCTTGTGTTATTACTGGTAGCTGGTGCTTTGACTGCTTTACTTCCTAATATCAAAGAAGACAAGATGCTCACGTCACGTAGGGAGGTAAAATCCCAGGGCAAGTCCACCATGGATTCCTTTACTCTTATAATGCAGACGTACAACAGAACAGATCTCTTGTTGAGACTTTTAAATCACTATCAGGCAATACCACATCTGCACAAAGTGATTGTTGTATGGAACAACATTGGGGAGAAGGGACCAGATGAGTTATGGAATTCTCTAGGGCCTCACCCTGTCCCTGTGATCTTCAAACTACAGACAGCAAACAGAATGAGAAATCGACTCCAGGTCTTCCCTGAACTGGAAACCAGTGGTGAGTTGCAGCTGGGTTCTCAGCCTGCAAGGGTGGCAAATAACCAGAGATGGGGGTAAGATTGCTGGTTTCTGGCCCTCTACTTGTCTTAACTGTCTGGAGAAAATAGGGGAAATTAGTCATAAGAAAGCAGTTTGAAGTGCTTAAGGATGATTTCCAAGATGTCAAGAAGCAGTTTCCTGGGGAGGAAATCACATACATCTTGCAATAATGACAAAGGTTAATATTGTAGAAAAAGATACACTGTAATTACATATTACTGCATTGCAGAAGGTAGGAAAATGCCATTTAGCTTATGCTTAATGTATTTTCTGCCACCACCCTTTTCATCCCATTCACAGCAGTTTCATAAGGTTGTCATTTGCTTAAAAGAATCTCAGTGTTATTTATTTATAGTTTCATTAGTCTCTAGGGTGATGGATGATAACTACATGATAATTTTCCCTTCAGGAAGTTATAAAATCAATTACAATTTAAGTGAACGCTTTTCTGCTAGAAAAATCTCTCCAAGAATACATTTCTTATTTACTAATTAGGTCAGCAAATACATCGTTTGAATGATTTATATAATGACACCATTGTATCCTACTAATTTTGTTTTCATTTCCAAACTTCAATTTAACATTTTTCCCTTTCATTTCAGCGGTGTTAATGGTAGACGATGACATGCTCATTAGTGCCCAGGACCTTGTTTTTGCTTTCTCTGTTTGGCAGGTAATATTGCTATATCCTTTCTAAAACCATCTGTATAAAGTCTTATATAGTGCTTAAAAAGGACAACGTGGCTTAATGTGGGGTTTAACTAAAATGTCATAGAAGATACCTATCTCAAAGATAGATGAATTTGTTACAGGGTAATTAAGATTTGCTGTGCTGAAAGTCAAACTTGTTATGGCATCTTTTATCTATATTTGATTTATATTTTGGTGTATCAGAGAGAAGACTAGAACTACCTTCCAGAGAACGATGAAGAAATGATCTGTGTAACACAGTCTAGAATACAGAGATATTTTTCACAAGGCCACCAACATGGGTGTCAAATGAGATATGTATTTCTGTACTCATATTGCATATTACTTTTTAAAAGAAAGTATTTATTATATTCACCAAATTTAATCCTGGTTCTGCAATTACTGTTTAAAAATTCTGCAGTGAAAATTCTTCCTGTACCATTGTAGGGGCAGGTTTTTATTTTCTAAATTCTATGCAGGCATAGTTTGCTTGCTCTTCTATAAAAACAACTCTCTGCTATTAAATATGGGTTCATAATTGCTGGCTTTTACAAGTTACAGTACAATTACCTGGAACCAGAGCTGCATACAAATACCCTGGAGCCTTCTCAAATAATTAAACACTGTGCTTCCAAATAAACCGTCTAATTTATGCTATGGTTAACTCTACTTAATTACCTACTTGGGATAAAACAACGTGAGATATTATTCGTAAGTGATCACAGTATTCTGCAGTTATCAGCACTTTAAAAACTTTAGTTGTTAACTTCGTGCCTGGTGTCCTGATCAACAAATTGATTTTCTTCCATATCAGCAGTTTTTCAGGCCTTAAAAATAAAAGCTTCTTAGGCAAAAAGTTCTAAAGTAACAACTCTAGCTGAAAGATTTGTATTTTAGGTAAAAATTCAATTTACCCAAAATGTAAGAGGGAGAAAAATACAAAGACTGTGGCTCATTAGAATAATCGAAGTAGGCGATAATTAAAAGTGACTAAATATGATTTTAGGTTTTATTCACAAAAAATCAACAATTTTAATGCATTGCCCAAGTATTATCTGACTCCTGAAATTCAGTCCAGTCAGTGCTCCCCAATGCCCAATGTATTATAATTATTTGGTATGAATAGGCAGGCCAGATTAAAATAGACTGCACAAATGTCTGTGCTTTCACACTTAACCCATTATCTTCACTTGTAGTGCTTTCCCTTTTCCTTCCTTCCCTCCTTTTGTTGATGTTGTTGTTAGTTGCCATGGAGTTGATTCTGACTCATAGCGACCCCACGTGTGCAGAGTAGAACTGCTCCATAGAGGTTTCAAGACTGTGACCTTTTGGAAGCAGATCACCAGGCCTGTCTTCTGAGAGGACTCTGGGTGGGTTCAAACTGCCAACCTTTTGGTTAACTGTTTGCAACACCTAACCATCTTCCCTCCTCTAGCCACCTAGATTCTCTTCATCTTCCTAGATCCCATAAATCGGACATCCCCTGTGAAGCCTCCCAGCCTTTATCCCCCATCCTGTGACCTTCCCCTTGGCCTGCCAGCAACACCGCTGTCATTCTATTCTCAGTGTTCCTGTCAGATTTTACCCAACTGTATTTACAACTTTATTACAGTATTATAATTTCTTGTTTACATAGCTATATCTCTCTCTAGACTGAGTTCTTTGAAATGGAATTTAACCCAGCCCAGTGTTTTTGCGTCCCTTGTTCAATGTCTGTTCAACAAATGAATGAAACTCGAGTTCGCGTGCTTCATTGTTTTTTGTTCGTTTGCTGATTTTTGTTTTATTTTTAGTCATTCTCACCGTAATGTTAAATGTCTTACTACCATACATTCTTTTTTCAACTATTCTGACAGACTTCTTCTGTTTTTAGGAAGAATACAGCCAAATTGGAAAGGGATAAAGTATTGTTTAAATTTATTGTTTAAAATCCACAGTAACTTTTAAGAACATTGCTCAACATGGAAAGACAATAAAATCATAATTTTATATGCTCCTCAGAGATTAAAAGAATTTTTCAAAGCAGTCACATTAAATCTTATTATCCCCTACAATAAATAGCATTGATACGGTCAGCTTCTCCTGAAGCAAACTTTGAAGATCTGAACTCTTTGGTGACTGGAATTTGCTGATACCAGATAATGTTTGAATTAGGAGAACATTTGTGAGATTAGAACATTTGGGTTGTGGGGGAATTTGACCTGTAATCTTATTAGGTCACAGATTTATGAAGTTGCTTGGAGTTAGATGACATTGAGATGTAGAAGCCAGGAATATAATAAAATTGACAAACCGGTTTAATTCTCTTAGTGATAAGTTATTGCCTTCTTCATCACGTCTGCCCTCAAGGAATGCCACACTTAATTGTTGTTTCTCCCTCTTTTCAGCAATTTCCTGATCAGATTGTAGGATTTGTTCCTAGAAAGCACGTCTCTACTTCATCGGGTATCTACAGTTACGGAGGTTTTGAACTGCAAACACCAGGGTTTGGAAATGGTGACCAGTACTCTATGGTACTGATTGGAGCTTCATTCTTCAGTAGCAAATATCTTGAACTCTTTCAGAAGCAACCTGCAGCTGTCCATGCTTTGATAGATGAAACTCAAAACTGTGATGATATCACCATGAATTTTATCATCTCCAAGCACACTGGGAAGCCTTCAGGGATATTTGTGAAACCTGTAAACATGGGCAGTTTAGAAAAAGAAACAAATGCTGGCTATTCTGGAATGTGGCATCGAGCTGAGCACTTTCTGCAGAGGTCTTACTGCATAAATAAGCTTGTTAAGATCTATGATAGCATGCCCTTAAAATACTCCAACATTATGATTTCTCAGTTTGGTTTTCCATATGCCAACCACAAAAGTAAAATGTGAAAGTCAAACAAACAAAAACAAACCTCGGAACTGCTTGGTATTTTAGTTGCTTCTGTATGTTATATAGTTCTTTTTTTTTTTTTTTAGCAACATTGTGAACTTTTATCCAATCCAGAAGTCTCTGCAAAGGAAAAAAAAATGTACAGTGCTTCTAGGATATAAAATTCATATTGACTTCAACAGCCAAGAAGCTTGCATTATCCAGATAGGTCTTCTGGAAAAGAGTTTTTATCCAGGGATGTAACTCTTTGGTCAAGGATTTTATTGTTTACATTCTGAGACTGTTCTACAATTTCTTTGACTCCTGGCCTTTGCCTTATGGACCTGCAAGCTGTTTCCAGGATCAGAAATTCAAAAGAGGCATTTCTCAGCATTTTCACTAAAGGTTGATTGTTTTAATCTGAAGCCTGAATGCCTCTTTAGCAAAAGCCTGTAATGTAGGGAAAAGCCATGTGAAGAAAGAAGAGTCTCAATCCTACATATAAACAAGAGGAGATTCACAGTTACCAGTGCTTCCCTTGAGGCCATTCCAACCAGTACTCCAGGATTAACTCAGCCTAGTGTGGTTTTGATGTGTCCGTTAGTGCTTTTATGTTTATTGATAAATCTGCTGTGACTCGGAAGGTTAAATTTAGTAACCTGCAGTATGTCTAGTTGTTTGCTTGATTTTCTGAAAATATTACTGCATGGATCACAAAAATGCAGCCTATGTTTCTTATATGCAGCTAAAGGAGTAAATATGTTACTAGGTTCAGGTAATGCATTTTGTCCCTGAGTCTGACCTTGGGAATGTACATTAACTCTTACATTTTATATAAAGTATGTATTGTCTAAGAAACATGTATAAAATAAGTCTTCTGAAAGAATGATTAAGTAGGAACTGACACAAGTTAAAACCCTTAGTATCAAAAGATACTTATTATTAGAGCATAGACTATCTCTTGGATACTAGAGAGATTGTGTGTATTGCACACAAAGTCAATCTCTTGCATTCTCAACTTCATTGTTGTTCTTTTTTTTTTCCCACCCAAAAAGGATCCAAGGTACTGTTCATCATGATGAAATTTTTATTTCATAGATGTAGGAAAAAATTAAAACTGAGTCATAGCAGAGGAGTTCTATAGGGCATCTGCATCAGTTCATTGTTAAGGTTGCCCACTCTGTTATGTGAATTAGAGGGACTATGTTCCAGTGTCTTCTGTTTAGCCTTGTTTCCTACTGGTGGCAAGGAACACTTACATAAACCACCTTCTTTCCCTCCTCTTTATGAAATATCGGTATATTCTCACAGTACATTGCAAAGCTGTGAAAACTTTAAAATAATCATGGCTAATATTCCAACAATGAGGTCTCCATGCTGTGAGTTCAGTATATTTCGTTTCTTTTCATGGGGCTGTGTATGTGTCTTAATGCAGTCAGAGAAAACCAGTAGAACTCGGAACTCACTAAAAATCTATACTGTTCATATGACCCAGCAATTCCACTCCTAGGTATATACCCAAAAGGCTTGAAAGCAGAGACTTAGAGACTTGTATACCAATGTTCAGTACAGCACTATTAACAATAGCCAAAAGATGGAAACAACCTAAATGCCCATCAACAGATAAATGCATAAACAAAATGTCGTATGTAAATACAATGGAATACTACTCAGCCAGTTGGAGAAATGAAGTCTTAATACATGCTACAGTATGGATGGAGCTTGAAGACATTATGCTGAGTGAAATAAGCCAATCACAAAAGGACATATTGTATGACCTTACTTATATAAAAAGACAAGAAAAGGCAAATGTATAGAGACCAAAGTTTATTAGTGGTTACCATGGGCTGGAGGGAGGGGGAAAAAAGAGGTTAACAGTGATGGAAAAATCACATTGATTAAGGATAGGGTTGCACAGCCAATTATTTTAATTGCTGTCAATAAGTTGTACACCTGTAGAAAGTTGAATTGGCAAAAGTTTTGTGATATATTTACAGCAACAACAACAAAAACTGCTGAGCCTGCTTGTGTACAACCAAACACCTCATGGGATTTGGTTCCTTGGTTTGGAGGTTTAGGTTCCTGGTTTCATGGGACATCCCAGTTAATTGGCCTAATAACGTGTTTAGTGCATCTGTTCTACCTCCTAGTTCGTTGCATAGTGCCTGGGGTCTTAAAAGCTTGCAAGTGGCCATCCAGGGCACAACAGTTGGTCTCTATTCTGCAGATGACTTTGAAGTCAATCAGAAAAGTGAGCAATAGTTTAGCTTAACCGGTAAAAAAAAAAAGGTCTGCCTTGACCGTTATGTACTTTTGAGAACTATATGGTATCAAACTGACAACAGCAACTCAAAAGATTAGATAGGAATCTTAGGGGGCAGTGAGTTTATATTAACGAGGTAGGAACGACTCAGAAAAGGAAGGTGAGAATGGTTGCAAGACTCAAAGAATGTAACCAATGTCAATTGTACACGTAGAAACTTGAATTGGTTTATGTTTTGCTGTGTATATTCTCAACAACAACAACAAAATAAAATTTAGAAAAAAATCTATACTATTATCTACTTTGTCCAACCTTGGTAGTGATTTTTTTTTTTTTTTTGGTGCCTCTTGGGCCACCAGCAGATAAATAAACTTTTACCATTCAGTGTTCTGTCTATGTTAATTAAGCAGACTAATGTTTTTGTCGCTGTTAGGTTAACAGATTTCTAAGTATTTTAATATATTGCCCAAATAAGGTAAAGGTGTTAGCTATATTCCCAGTGGGAAAATATTCCTGGATTTTATTTCCCATCTTGTGTTCTTAAACTTGTCTTAAGTATCACATAAATTAGTTGTTGTGGAGCAAATATGGAGCCAAGGTGAAATTCAGCCTGTTATAATGACTCTTGCATTGTGGTGCAAATCCTACTAAAATTAAGGTGCCCCTTATTTTTGGCTCCAAATGATCATAGAGGAGATGCTGAGGCTTAAAACTGCATAAGAGAAGCAATGTAGCATAGTGGCTAAGGGTGCACATTTCTACCTCAGGTACTTGGGCTCAAATCTTTGCTAGACCTCGTGTTTATGTAACCATTGAGAGCCTCAGTTCTCTGCAAAATGAAAATAATATATACCTAGGGGTTTGTTTTAAGGAATAAAGGAGATAACTTGTATAAATACATTACAACGCCTGGCCCATTTTAAATGCTCAATAAATGGAAGCTGTTGGAGTGATAATGCCATTGATAATAAGGGCAATGTTAATCTTACAGCTTAGCCACCTTGATAGTACAACGGCCCCTGCACCTACAAGGTGAGATACTTGAGAAATTGTTTCTTCTTAACAGTGAACAAGGAACCATGGCAGTTTTCATCTAAAGCAACAGAATGCCAGTATATTTTCTAGACTTCAAATACCTTGTTTTCTTCTTAAAGCAGTATATATTCATTCTAGCAATTTTGGGATATTCAGAACAGTATGAAGAAATTAAAAGCCACCACCCTATTAACAACTGCTAAACATTTTTATGTGCATTTCTCCAGACTCTTCCAGGCATATATTTTCATAGTATAATTTATTTGGTATTTCATTGTATGGATAAACCACAACTTACATAATTAATCATTATCATTTTAACTTTCTGTTTAATAATAATTTCTTAGTATTACAACAACACTTGGAAAAATGTCCTTCCTTTGAACAGACAACTTTGAGCATATCAATAATTATTTAATATCAAGTCCAAAAAGTTCAATACATGGATCTATCTAGTGGTATGTGCATTTTTAGGCGTTTTGATCATATTGCTAAAATGCCTTCAGAAGTGTTGCCATAGCTACACTATTAATATCACATCTGAGAGCACCTGTTTCCCATCAGTCTTCCCAACATAGCATGTTATTTAAAAATTTTTGTCATTTCTTTTCCGTGTGCAAAATGCTCAAGTGCTGTAAAATCCGGAAGGGCTCAAGATGCTTATTTGGAAGGGCTCTGGATGCTAAAAAGGCAGGCAATCAATTCTAAAATATAAGATTTAAGGGGAGTGTAAGCTTCAGGAAGCTTTTGAAGTGCTTCTAGGAGCTCTTACCCTAAGGCCCAGAGCATAGACAATGAATTCTGACCCTTTTCTGGTCTCAAAAGTAAGCTATTTGGAAGTGACGAATAAGCTCACTCTTGTTCCCTTGGGAAGATGACTAGGACTTTGACCCCAAGGTCAGGA